CGTTTACTTACATGTCTAGCTATGGATTCTTGTATTCTTCTTTTGAGACCCTCTGGCGACCCTCAGAAAAACCCTGGTGACCCTCATTTGGGGCACGACCCTGGGGTTGGGAACCACTGATCTATACCAATGCGTTACTGCGTTATTTCATCGTTTATGTATACATATGAATCTCTATATCTTTATCTATCAGTCTATCTACCTGCCTTTCTCTCTATCTATATTCACACACACACACACAGTTATATATATTGTTTTACTCTTTAACTTTTGTTCCTAGTAATGAGTGTTATTATCCAATAGCCTATTGCCTAAAACTATAGAAAATGACTGTTCGTGCCTAAAATTTTGCCATTGTGACCCGGAAAACGACACTTTAAAAGTTCGAATGGAAAAACTATCCTACAGTCAGAATTTCAGAAGCTATGGTAACACGACCTTTAACCAGCCTTCCCCCTTATCGTCTCTCGCAGCTCTACCGTCCGTACAGAATTCATCCAGTACTCTCTCTGTCTCTGTCTCTGTCTCTCTCTGTCTCTGTCTCTGTCTCTGTCTCTGTCTCCTCTCTTCTCTTGCTCTCCCTCTCCTCTCTCTCCTCTCCCTCTCCCTCCCTCTCTCCCCCCTCTCTCTCTCTCTCTCTCTCTGAGCAGCGACGTTATCTCCCACCCACCTCCGGCTCCCTTGCATACAGGAAAGCCAGCTGTTCTGAGCTATGTAAAAAGTTGTACGTGGACTAATCACTATGATTTAAAGTTGAAATTTGTCTGTAGTAGCTATATTGGCTGCTGTTTTCTTTCCATCTTATAGTATTTCAACAATTCCTGATTTTTTTACTTGATGTTTCATCATTGTCTATTATCTCCTTGAATTAAAAGCTAGAGGAGTCGATAGAAGATTTGAAACTCCATCTGGGGTCGAAATAAAGAACCCCTACTTTAGTGTCTAGAGCTGTGTCAGATCCTTCCAACTCCTACTCCGCTGTGGCCGGTCCTGCTCTGAGGAGTGCGCCGCTTTGGGCCCGCTGTTTCAAAGGAGAAGATACAGAGAAACTTGGACATCTAACCGGCGGGCTTCGAGGACCTCCTAGCCGTACCCATCACAGGTCAAAGAGTTAGGAAAGTCTTAAGGCAGGTCACAAATAAAAGTTTTATTACAGGGAGTGTTAGCCATATTCATTACTCTTTGATCCTACGCCATTACTCCTTTAGGGAAATAGCACATACTCTCCTGGAACAAAACAAATGAAAACAATGGAACAATAAAACTGTAATTGTGTCTGAATCTAAAATCACACCATACTAGATATAACTATAATTATCATCATTATAATTGTGATTAAATTTACACCATTAACACAACCATAAATACTACATCCCGACCAAACTTACTACATTTAAAAACGAAAACATCCTCACAGTCAAATGAATAATCTCTCCCATCTAGATAAAAAAAAGGAAACTGAAACATTCTGGAAAATTAAAAGATATTCTAACAATGGAGTAGTGAAGGGAGTAGACACAAGAGCCGGAACAATAGAAACAGATGAGTGGGGGAGAATGGTAGAGTAAGGGCTGAAGACAAAGAAACGTAGAAAGTGTTTTAGAAAACGAGAGCCGTGGTAGTTTTGTCCAAGTCGAGTATTTTGTGTTAGAGATTGGAACGGCAAAATAGATAGGAAGATTGAGATAGATGGATAGAAAGAGTGGGAGATAGAAAGACAAAAAAGACTAAAAGATAAAGTGGATAGGAAGATTGAGATAGATGGATAGAAAGAGTGGGAGATAGAAAGAAAGAAAACAAAAACTGAAAGATTAGTGGATAGAAAGAAGGAGAGATGGATGGATGAGAGAAAGATAGAAAAATAGACTGAAAGATTAGTGGATAGAAAGAATGAGAGATGGATGGATGAGAGAAAGAAATTCAGATAGATAAGTGGATAGAAACGGTGGATAGGGAGATGAAGAAATAGATAGATTGATACATCAACTGAGAAAGATGGATAGAAAAATTAAGAAAGATAAAGATAAAATACAAAATAGAAAAAGGAGAGAAAATAAAAGACATAGCGGTAATGATCTCGGTAGACAGATAGAATGGAGAAATTACAAAATGAAGAAGAAAGGAGAAAAAAGAATAGAAATAGCGTTAAGATTTAGGTTGACAGATGGAACGGTTAAGAGACATAAAAATAAGCGAAAGAGGAAATATATAATGCGCAAAACAAACAGAATAAAAGAGACAGCCTGATAAGAATATATAAAGAAACTAATATAAAAGGAAAAATCGAAGAGAAAGGGTGAAGAAAAAATATGAAATACATTGAGACAAATCCAGACGAAGAACAAGAAATCTACAAGAAAAAGACGAAAAAGAAAAAAGAAAGAAAAAACAACAAAAGAGAAAAACGAAAAGAAAAGGAACAACGACATACAAGAAATACCAATAAACCAACAAAGATACAAACAAACAAAATCCAAGACAGAAAAACATACAAGAAAAA